GAAACAATAGGTACTTTGCAGTTGTTTCTTCCTGAGGGAATTGAGAAGAGGCAGGGAAACCAGTGTGGCCAGAGGACAGGTATCTACCATCAAGCTATCAGAAACCATTGAGTGAATGAATAGTTCTGCTTGAAGAAGACACCTACAGAAAAGCTGCCGCCATCTCCCTCTCCCAGAAGGCTCATTACTAACATGGGGCCTGATTGTGATTTCACACTGGTATATTTCCATTGATTCCGCGGACTTATTCTTGTTTTACACCAATGTCAGTGAACTCGGGATTGAGACCATTAGAAACATAAGAAAAAAATATCAGTTAAAACAAGTCTCTTTTACTGGTTCACATTCTGGGCCAGCTCCTCAGCAGGCATAAACAGGCATAGCTCCATTGATATCAGTCGAGTTATGCTGATTTACACCAGTAAGGATCTGCCCCCCCCTCTTTAAACACAGGTTTCTCCTCCCCCCATAACAATGTTACTTCTGCTACTGAGATAGCTTATTTAAGTTAGATAACAGATAGTGTCTGTGTGTTATCAGATCACATCAGCACCTAGCAATTTCAGAATGAAACATCCCAGCAAGACAGACACCATTTTATTCTAGTCAGCAGGAAAACCACCTCCCTGTGGATGTATGATCCATCCTCAACTTCACCCAAGCACTCTCAGGATTTTATGTACAGTGTGAGGTCCAGTCTGCCACTCAGTTTGTCCAGAGCCTTTGTACTGTGCCTTTCAGTGAATGAAATGTGCATGCAAATAGATTAGAATCATTTGTCTTTTGACTCAGTCAAAAGTAATCCACCTATCTCAGTAATCCACATCCTTTTCACTCCTGATTTTGGTGGATGGTGGAGAAATGGCTGTTTTTCCATGGATTAGATTCTGATCTCTAAAATCATTTTTATAGTGAGTACCCGAGAGCAAATGGATCATATTTAAGTGATGGTACTCCTGGAAGGTGTTGCATATAAATAATGGCACAGGGCCAACAGTAATGCCAGTGAAAAATAATTCCTTTGTTATCTAACTTCACACACCCCTATAACACAGGGAAAGGGGAGAGAAAACAACTTCTGTTCTGGATTCTTCTGCTTTGTAATTCTCTTCAGCTTTTAGATTCCACAGTGATAATGTGGGTATTTTAGAAATACTTTAGGTAGGTAGGTAGAAAGATGACAATTACCCACTTAAACTGCCTAGCACTAAACTTCCTTTGAGGACGGAAACACTTCCTTTGCGGGGAATTTCTTTCTCATCGTTTTTTTGCCCTGCTCATCAGTGTAGTATCCGAGCACCTTCCAGCAGCGCATCCATTCAAGTTTATCATTGGTCTGAGGCGATGACATTCTTCTTCCACACCTTTGTTGGGTTGTTTTGATTTGATTGGTGTCCTTTGAAGTGTTATTGCTCATAGTAAGAGCAGAGTAGCATCCAGGGGCGTGACTCAAGATCAGCGATCCCATTGCGCTAGGCCCCTCAGAAGACCTTACAAGTTAGATAGTCATGATGCAGCAGTGGCTGGCAGCAAACAAAGGGAGGGAAATGGGGATGGGGGAGGAAAGGAGAAGTCACACGGTTGTTCAGATTTCTAGTGTGCTCTGTTTCAGCACTATGTAATATCAATCCAAGAGTGGTTTTACCCCAGTGTAAATCAGGAGCTCAATGGAATTATATCAGTGTGACGCAGGCAGGTGTGAATGAAAAGGGAATTGAGTCCTAAATATTCCATCCACCGCTTTTTCAAAAAATGTCTCCCCATTAACACAGAGTTTGTGCCCCGGCCTTCCTACTCCATGCACTGTTGCTTTATAGCACCTCGGCTCCATTTTTATAGATTTTCATTTTTGTTTTATTCCTTCCCACACACGATTACTTTCTCCCCATAAGACACTTGTGACCAGGGTCCTAGTGGTGACCAGCTGTGGTCACTCAATTAGGGTGAACTGCAAAGAATGGGGCAGACAATCCCCATAAAGCTGGTGGATATTCTGATACTTAGATTTACCAAGCCAGCATAAAACAGCTTCTTTATTACCTCACTGGTTACTCAGAACTCCAAACAACACAGTTCCCTTAAAGTGATCCAGCCTCAGGCCTCCATCCAGGTACCCACGTCAAATATGATGAAAATTTCTGTAAATCTTATTTCATCTACCAATCCCAAAGGATCGGACACATTGCCTCCCAGGTTAATGAATGTTTCAGATCTTACCCAAATACATGCTACAGCCAATTCTTATTAACTAAACTAAAATTTATTAAAAAACAAAAGAGAGAGAGAGAGAATGGTTAAAAGGTCAATATACATATAGACATGAGTTCAATTCATTGAGGTTCAGATTCATAGCAGAGATGCATCTCTTGCATCTGAAGAAGTGAGGTTCTTACCCACGAAAGCTTATGCTCCCAATACTCTGTTAGTCTTAAAGGTGCCACAGGACCCTCTGTTGCTTATAGCAGAGATGGTGAGCTTTGTAGTTACAAAGAGTTCTTTCAGAAATAGTTCATTGGACTATCTCATATTCAGGGCGTACCAGCATAACTGGGACCTCAGTCTTGTGATTCAAACTTCCCCTGATGAAGCCTAAGCAGATCGGAGATGACAGAAACAGGATCCAAGGATCTTTTTATACAGTGTTCTAGCATCCACTTGACCACACAGTCCTGGTTAAACAATAGGCTTTTGATGTAACCTTTTGCTTTCTAAACATTACCAGTAATTAGTTATACAAATTAACATACAGCAATTTATCCATTAGGCAGTCTATTACAGACTTCAAAGAGACATATAGACAATGACATTATTTTACCCACGATTCATCCAAATGCTAATATTCCCTTTTGATCTCTGAATCAATAGTTATAGTGACAGACAGGAACTGTCTTTTTGCGTAGCATCTAAGACACACACAATTAGTATTACTTCTAACAATATAGGTTTGAATTTCAACGTTCTAGCCCATTTAGCATGAGTGGCCCTAATTATCGTTTGTATACCTTTCTAACATGACTTTAAAGGTGGGCTTTGGGTTATTCAGCCTGCAACCCTTTCTAGCCATTAGTCAGAATACAAAATCTCTATCATGCCATCTGTCCCTTCAGCACCCTACTTCCCTCCCTACCCCCAGAGCCTCCAGTCCTTATTCTTAAGTCACTCCTACAGTGTGTTCAAATATCACCAAGTGGAAACTAGAGTGCCTGGGGCTGAGGGAACATAAAGTCCTCTCTCTTATATCTGTTGCTTGCTGGGTCCAAGGACTAGTGTCAGAAACTGGGATGGAGATGGTCAGACCTAGCAGTCAGAGCTGGAATTAGGAGTCCAGGGTGTGGGTGGAGCAAGGCTGGAGCAGGGCAGCAGCAAGAGTAGGGCTGGAGCAGGCTAAGGCCTGGGGAGCCGTTTGCCACCATCAGGCAGGAGAGAGTTCCAAGCCTTGGAGTGACATTGAGCAGACTGAGCTGCTGTTCCACCTGTGGGGCTTATATAACTGGTCTGGGAGTCATATGACCAGTTCCTGGCTTATGGATTGGCTGGAGCCTAGCACAGGAGTGGGAGAAAGAGGAGGTTTAGTTTAGCCCATTGTTACTCTTGCTACTCCAGGAATGGTGGGAATCTCAAGGTCAGCCTTCTTCCACCTTTCCCAAGCTCCACACTGCTGCTGCAGCTCTGGCAGGGACCAGTGTCTCTTCCCATCTTGGTGCTCAGGCAATGGGGAGATGTTAGGTTTCTGCTCCTGGGGGGTAGCTGTGTGGTAGGAGGTTACAAACCTAAACTGACATGCCTACATGACCAACTCCACAGCCAGAACAGTCTCTATGGCTAAGGACGTCTTGACATGTGCACTTAGCTCCAAACCGGCCCGATGCTTGGGGGAAGGGCACCCTCTGTCCAGGGTTGGATGGGTGTGCGTGCGGGGGGGGGAGGGGCTGGTTTTTGTTTCTTTCCCGGGAGAGAATAAAGACAAATCAGGAGTTCCCCCCATCTTCCCCGTTCAGGTTCTTACTCCGTGCTCGGCAGGCACCGGGGGAGTCCCGAGGGGGACCAGGGATTAACCTGGAGGCTGCCCAGAGACAGAGCACTTCTTTGGGGGGAGGGATAGCTCAGTGGTTTGAGCACTGGCCTGCTAAACACAGAGTTATGAGTTCAATCCTTGAGGGGGCCACTTAGGGATCTGGGGCAAAATCAGTACTTGGCCCTGCTAGTGAAGGCAGGGGGCTGGACTCGATGACCTTTCACGGTCCCTTACAGTTCTAGGAGATAGGATATCTCCATTAATTTATTTATTTGGGTCTGCGAAAGCACGGGGCTTAGCCAGGCGAGCAGCTTCCCGTCCTGCCGCGGTGTGTAGCGGGGGGAGAGAGGGAGGGGATTAAAAACACCCGCTCCAGCCCCTTTGCAACGCTACAGTTGTCGCTTTCCCCCACGGTCGTCTCTGGGGCAAGTCGGGAGAGAGCGAGAGACCCCATTGGCTACCGCACAGGCAGCATGTCATCCAGCCTGCTGCATATAACCGGAAAAGCGGGGACCACTCCGCCCCAGTCAATGCCAGCCGCCTCCAGTGCGGAGCGGAGGGATGCTTGCAAGGACTGACAGAAGCGGGAAGGGCTGTACTGGCCCCTGGGATCGGACGAGGTCTGGGGGGGTCCTTCTCCAGGGCAGACGGTGCATCCAAGAAGCAGTTTGGGAGGCTGAAATGTGACAGCCTAAAGGACTATGTGAAAAAGCAAGGGAGCAAGTTGCCGGGGTAGTTTGTGGGAAAGAAGCAGAAAAGCCCCCAAAGGAGCGAAGCAGCCAAGCTGGAGGGAGAAACCCGGAGCCCCAAAGTCAGGAGCCGAAGCGACTTGAGACTTGGCCTTGCTTGCCGCGGTTAAACCAGCCCCAGCATGCAAGCCGGGTTCTCGCCCCGGCTCCCATCTCCGAGCTGCCCTGCCTAGCGGAGGAGGGGGCCGGAGGGGAATCGCTCCACTCCCCGGGAACTTCGCCACTGCTTCGAAGCCATGAGCAGCCACGTGTGGTTCCCCTTGCAGTACATCTCCAAACCCTACCGCCGGGCACAGGACCGCAATGGCTCCGACTTCTTCTCTGCCCTCTACGGCTTCCCCAACCGATCCTCCTTCTTCCACGGCGACTTGGACCTGGACGACATGGGGGACTTTGACAGGGGCACCCGGTACGAAGGGGAGTCCCAGAGCCGGACGGTGCAGGCGCTGCTCATCGTGGCCTATTCGGTGATCATCGGCATCTCTCTCTTCGGCAATATCCTGGTCTGCCACGTGGTGATCAAGAACAAGAGGATGCATTCGGCTACCAGCCTCTTCATCGTCAACCTGGCCATCGCGGACATCATGATCACCCTCCTGAACACGCCGTTCACCCTGGTAAGCAGCGCGGCGCCCGCCCCAGCTCCCCGGGTCTCACTGCCTGGGGGAGCAACTCTCTGCCTTGGCCGCTGCCGCCCCGCCGGCACCTTCCCGGGAACACGCTGCCGGGATCTGCGTGCTATGGGCCGGCCCGAGCAGGCAGCAGCGCTGCGACTGGAGAGAGCCACAGAGAGGTTTATAGCGAGGTGGTCGGACGGTAACTTCGGAGAGTTAATTTGGAAAGCGAGTCCTAGTCCTGCCCCATATCCTTTACTGTCAGGTTTGCAAAATGCGTGCGTGTGTGTGTGTGTGTGTGAGAGAGAGATTGTGTGTCCCGGCTCTGGGAGGGGTGTGTGGATTGTGTTTGTGATTGTGTGTGTGTGTGGCGGGGATGGGGGGTATGCAATCAGTGCCTGAACAGAGCTTGCTTCTTTTTCTTTCGGATCTCCCTCACTTTCTGTATTGTCAAGGAAATAAAATAAGTATCCCTGCGTTGCCTGCTCAAGTAGGGACCATGCTTAGCTACTCCACCTCGTCCCTCTCCCTGGGCCACACAGGAATCTGTCCACCTCGTCCTGCTACACAGTCAGTCTCTCTCTCTCTCTCTCTCTCTTGCCTGCTGGAGCGAGCAGGGCTTGGCAGTCAATGCATCCCGAGCGGAGTGGATAAAGCTGTGGAGTGTGAACCTGACTTTCTTGCAGGATTCAGGGGGAGACACGGGTGTTTTACTCCTATTGTTCATCTGAGGATGAAGAAGAGGGGAAGGCTTTGCCCTGTGAAGTACACTCAGTTTTCTATGGAAACTGAATAAGCAGTGTCTGTCCTTGTTACAGTCCCTAAGAAACAGGTTGATTTCAAAGGGAAAGGCTGGGTTTGTGCTGAGTCCGGGCCACTTTACACAGACTGTGTAGGCTTCCCATGCTGGGGGAATATGACCCCTGAACTCCTGGGTTTGGCGTGATTGGATTTATTAGCTCTGGGATTAGATTGCCTTTGTCTTCATAATGAGATGTGGAAAGAAAGGAATAGAATGAGAGGGAAGAGTTAAAGTCCCATCTAGTCCACTGCATGCTAATGCATAATTTTCCCTTCTGTATATTCTGGAAGGCTTTGTCTAGTCTTCTTTAAATATCCCAGGTAATAAAACTTCCCCCGTTTCCCCTGAGAGACTTTCACAGTCTAGTAATTTCACTATCAAAAAAACTTCCCCAATGTTCAGTCTGAACTTTAAAAAAAGTAGGACAACTAGGATGAAAGTGTAAACTCTGTAGGGGAAGAATGGTGCCTTCTTTCATGTTTGTACAGCACCTAGCACATTTGGGGCATTGCTGGAAACAAGTAATAATTACAATCACCCTCCCCCACAAAAAAAAAAAAAAATCCTTACATTGACTTTGTACCAGGCTTGAAGCAGCATAGGATTGTTATAGTGTGAATGGCACAGTTGTTGCTCAAACACCAACAAACAAAACCTCATTGGGAATAATAGGAGGCTTCATGCACTACTTTCCATGACAGTTTGTGATGCCATGAGGAGATCATTTTCAAAACATCCACATCCCACTGACGTCAATGTGATTAGACATAGCATCCACACGCTGCATAAAATAATCCACAATAAGAAGTGCAATGTTAAAATCAATGAGGAAGGCAATCAGTGTTATAGTGTTATCTGCTTTCTCAACTCAGAGGGCCCAGTTCTCTTCTTGATTACAATAGTATAACTTCAGTGACTTCACACATGTATCAACAGCACGGCTCCTGCTCACGGAGGGCTGTGACAGATTTGTTTGTTTACTATTTCTACACTCTCCTTCTGATCCCCGTGTGCCCTAAGCTTACCTTTCTGCAGAAATGGGTCTGGTACATCAACAAAACACTTATAAATATATTAACTATTTAATTCTCACAATAACCCTGGAAGGCAAGTTTTATTATCCTCATTTTGCATCCACCATCTGATTTTACTGATGATGCCTGTTGTTTTAATCTACATTTGACATGGCCTGTGTGTTCAAATATTGTTTGTTCTTCAGGTGCGATTCGTAAGCAGTACCTGGGTCTTCGGAAAGCTGATGTGTCACATAAGCCGGTTTGTCCAGTACTGTTCTGTCCATGTTTCTGTGCTTACCCTTGCAGCCATTGCACTGGATCGACACCAGGTATGCATCACATAACCCTGAATTTAAACTCTAGCAAATATAGGGATACTTTAGAGAAAACAATCAGTATTCACTGGTTAAAGCCCAGCACCTGGCACCCTGTGATTTCATGAGCATCTCAGCTTTTATCTAAAAAAAAAAAAAAAAGTTCTAGGCATTAAGGTTGTGGGGAAAAGCTTGAAAACATGACCCGAGGGTGACCTGAAGGATGAAAACCCAGAAAGCAAATAAAAATAATAATAAATTAAAAAAAATTTTTTTGCATGGTCTTTAAGCCACTCATGACGTTTTGTGGCCCAACTCATGATTTTTGGGTGCGTGGAGTTGGTAACATGCAGGACTGTACCATTTTCCTGTACAAAGAAAAAAGAACAGGAATACTTGTGGCACCTCAGAAACTAACAAATTTATTTGAGCATAAGCTTTCGTGGGCTACAGCCCACTTCATCGGATGCGTAGAATTTTCCTGTACATTCAGCTGAAGTTGGACCCATTTTTTCCCCTACAAAATTGTTCCCAGCAAATACTGAAAGGAAAAAAACCTCTACAGTTTTGTTGCATCAGACAACATCAGTTCAAACCTACTCCTTTCCCTGGATGATAATATAATTTAGCATTTGACTGAATCCAGACTATTGTTTCTGACCCTAAATATTGTGCACTAGGATATGAAATTGCATAAGAGTGCACTCAGGTGTGGGTTGCCATTGTTTCTAGCGCAGTTGGAATTAATATTAACAGCTATTACTGAAAAGAAATTTCACTCGACAAATGTTACAGTTAGACGAAGCTCCAAAAGAACGACGGATCCCGCTAAGTGCTCAGATTGTCAGTCGTGTATGCCAGCTGCTGTGAGAAAATGAAAGCACTTTCTGGAAAATGGTTTTTTTTTTAAACTGCTAATGTTTACTAAATTGCCCCATTTGGTCACCAGAAGTTCCAGCACTATAACACTCAAGAGAAAAGCATTGCATTTCACAAGAAAGATGTTTTGAAATACCATATTTTACATATTGCATGATCAAAGATTGCAAATGGTTGGGGAAATAAGAACCAGAGCCTTAGTCTGACTGCCGAGCTTTGCTAGCAATTCATAAATATTATTTTAACTAAGGGAGAACATGATAACTTCCTCTGATATTGGCAGGATTTACATAGCTCAGGAGTGAAATTGTTTAACAAAAGGAGTACGGGGATGCAACTGAGCAAGGAAAAGTCATTCCCTGAAATGAATTTATTTTCTAATCCTGGGATGTATCAGAGTGTGGAGCAGATGCTCAAAAGAAGTGATAGGAGCCCTATTATCACTTGGGACTTTGATAATTGGAAAAAGCACTCAAGAAAATAGTGGCGAGAAGAAACCTTCATTAGCAAAGAGACGGTTGGGATGATTTAAATAGGCGTTTTTCATTGTCAGTGGTCAACATAATAATCTATGCATTGTGTTGCTCAAAGGTCATCACTGCTGGTCTCTGAAGCTGTGTTTGTGGGTGGCACCGAGTGTGTTTCTCCACGTTGCAAGCTATTGTTCCAGTAATTTGTATTTATATAGAACTTTACATTTCCAGGCACTGTACACCCTAAATATCCTTCTCCAAAGCCCTGTGAAGCAGGTATCACTATCCCTGCTTTACAGGTGGGGAAAAATGAGGCCCAGAGAAGCGAAGCGACTTGCTCTAGGGCCCAGATGGAATCAGTGTCAGAGCTGGGATTATTTACAACCCTGCGCTCAGTCCACAAGATCAGGCCGCCTCAGCGTTGGAAGGCTTGCGTCAGTTTTGCTTTCCAGGTCTCTACACAATGCAAAGCTATAATAGCATTTGAAAGAGTAGCAGTCAGGGTGACTTTTAGACCATGATTCTTGTGAGCTTCCTTCAGCAGCAAAAGCAACGAGCAGGAGGGTGGAAAATAAAGCAGCTGTTCCTCACATCCCTCCCCCGCCCCACTGATTTGTGCCACACCATCGCCAACACAGTCTGGGGCCAAACACAGCTCTGATGTAAATGAGGTAGGGTTCAGTGGGCCAGACCCTAAAATTGGTCCCCACAGTCATCAAATCCGCAAAAATCTCTTTCACATCAACTGAATGCCAATGTGGGCATCATTGCTACATGACCAAGTTACATTACCATCACTTACAGCTAAAGCCTGATCTGTTCCCATAGTAATTGGTGCTGACTTTGTCTGTTGTCTTTGTGAACATGTTTGCTAGCTGCTTCTAAATTCAGCAATGGGGGTGGGAGGGACGTGTCCGGTTGCTGATGCGGTACATCGCTTTTTAGAATTAATCTATGTTTTTGAACAGTTAGTCCTGTTGTTATCAGTTCAGAAGGGTTCAAATTGAGTCTTTTTAAAGCCCGCTAGGAGAAGATTTAACATGCTCTGAACTATTTGTCCTTAGGTTATAATGCACCCTTTGAAACCCCGGATGTCAATTGCTAAAGGAGGAATTTGCATCATTATAATCTGGGTTATGGCCAGCTGCTTCTCTCTGCCTCATGCCATCTACCAGAATCTAGCAAGATTTTATATTGGGTAAGATGTATAAACAGGGTGTTTTTTTTAAGGAACTCCCTCAATTTAACAGCCATTAATTATAAACACACATGTTTATTTTTTTCTGTTAGTAAAAATTAGCTGAAAATTGACAACTGGAAAAACTTTTAGTTCAAGCAGCATGTTTCCACTTTGAGTTTCTCTCCAATGTTCAATGAAAATCAAAGGAGTCACTTTTATCTTTATTAGTCAGTTCCATCTTCATTTTCTCAGTGCAGCAGACACTGCAGAGGGAGATTCATTTTAACTATTTCCATTAGAATTGACAGATGTACACTGGAATAGGGTTTTTGTTTTTCCGTGAAGCTTTAATAAAAGTTTTTTTTTTTAAAGTAAATAAAAATCTACATTTTGGGCCAAATTTGAGTTGAAGTTGTTGACTTAAAGAGGCACTAATCCATGTGTCTGAATGAATTCCTCTATCTGTTTACCATATGTGCCCAGCTATCTTATAGGTATTTTATAAGGGGCCTATCCCCTTTGTACTACATGCTTATGATTGTGGAATTGACGGGTTTTCTCCTTTTGTGCTCCAGGAACAGAACTATACGAATGGTCTGTCTCCCCAGCTTCCCTCCTCCTGCTGATCTCTTCTGGAAGTACCTGGACTTGACTACTTTTGTACTCTTGTATGTCCTGCCCTTGCTTGTGATCTCCATCACCTACACAATGGTAGCCAAGAAGCTCTGGCTGAGGAATGCCATTGGAGACGTCACCATGGAGCAATACTTTGCCCATCAGAGGAAGAAGAAGATGACACTGAAGATGTTAATGGTGGTGGTGGTGGTTTTTGCTGTCTGCTGGTTCCCACTGAACTGCTACCTGGTGCTCATCTCCAGCAGGGCCATCAACAGCAACAATGCTCTGTACTTTGCTTTCCACTGGTTTGCCATGAGCAGCACCTGCTACAACCCCTTCATTTACTGCTGGCTCAATGAGAGCTTCCGCTCTGAGCTCAAGTCCCTGTTGTGTGTGTGCCGGCGAAAGAATGCAGCCCAGAGCCACGCACTGCAGTCCATCTCTCCTCCTTTCAGGCATGCCTGGGCTGAGAATTGTCATTATAAAAGGGGCAGCTGCTCTCAGAAAGCAAGAGCATCTTCCCAAAGAAACTCTGCAAAGACAGACATATCCAGTGTCCAGCCAATTGTGACAGGGAACTAAGCCACTGAACTGACAGTTAATGGAGCTCCCTGGGTCCTGAATCCAGAAAATTGGATATTAAATTTATTTGTATTAAGTTACAATCACAATCAGGAGCAACTCCACAGACTGGGTAATGGGATATAGAGCCTTTAAACTTAGGAGAAAGAAGACCTAATTACTACTATATATACTTTGGGGTGACAGTTTATTTTATGGAGAAAATGAACAAACTAAATTAATTTAATACTTTTGATTTATTAATTTATTCAAGACTGATTCGTAACTTTTACAACCACGTTTGAGTTTGTGACCCAGGGACTTTGCCTGCTATTTGAATGATAGGCACATCCAGCATATGATGTTTGTCACTCAAAAAGTAATCTTAAATCAAGACAATTGATTATTCTGAACTGCTCAGTGTAGTGTTTATTCCTTCACCACAGAGAATAGTGCTTCTCAATAATATTTAAAATGATCAAATGAGAACACAAGCTAGGTGTATGCAAAATACACCGAGAATAAAACAAATACAGTTCCTTTGGTCATAAAGATTATTAGTAGCTGCAACAAAATACAAATGAAAATTTACCTTGCAATCTCTGATCAAGCAAAAGTGTCTCCGGTGAGGTAATTTACAAGAATTAAGGAACTGAAGAAACTGACTCCTATCTATAGTCTCACACAGTTTAATATGTGCTCTCAAGATTAAACACATGCAAATAAAACTTCTAGGTCTCAGTACAGGACTTTGTAAAAGGAAATTGTTTAAGAGGATTTCTCAATTTTTCTACTCTGCCAGGTTTTTCTATTCTCCACACACAAAAAATATTAATTTTTGTTCAAAAGTTCATAGCATATTTCATTTTATGAGGCCTTTCATACCTACAACCACTAAATCGCCTATTTGACTCTAACACAGGTTAGTAGTGAGTCAAAGGCATTGCCTTTCAACAGCTTTTCACTGGCCTATGTGAAATGAGCAGGTGATCTCAGTAAAGCTCCCAATGGATAGACGTCCACACCACAGAGTCTACCACTGCAATTGGCAATCTTGGCAGATTCAACGGAGAGCCCAGGTACTGAAAGGGCTATGGAGTCTAAACTCCCTATCTCACCCTTCTAGATTATGGGTGAAGTGCTTTTACCAAGGTGTCTGTGAAGAATATGGAGGAATTTACATTTCTGTTATCCAATTTGTACCTGCTCTTTGGATAAATATCAGACTTTACAGCCTCCAGGGCTATATCAATCTAGCACTTCTCACCTCTATCAATTTGCTAAGGAAAGCAATACTGTGGTTTATTATTTTCAGTAATTGGAGTTTTTCCTAAATCAGATTAAAATTATTTACAGGTATAGCTTTAATATTTTGATTTTTATAAAGGTGTATCCGAACTATTCATAGCTTGGCTAGTAAGCTTCAGAGGTGGGCCTTTGACTGTCTGTCATTCAAATGTCACTTTCCACAATTAGTGACTCTTCCAGCATAGGAAACATGACAACTGCTAGCACTTTGACAGTTGCTGAACAAAGCATGATGCTTCGCAAGAAGCCAGATGGTAACCACATTTAAAAAAAAATCATTTTTCGAATTAAGAGATAAATGTGAAGGTTTTTCATACCTGCTGACAAACAGAAATGGTGGAATTAAATGGTGTTGAAGTCATTCATAAACTCAGATATGAACTCATGCTTATATAAAAAACAACAACACTAACTTATGCTACAGCAGTGGCCCCAAACACTGCAGCTTACACTAGTGATACTATTGTGCTTGTGACTTATTACAGTGTTTTTTCATTTAGGTGAGTGTGTCTGAAAATATAATAAATAGATATGATGTTTCAGAACACTCAGGAGAGCATCTAGACAACTGTTGGACCAAATTCATCCTGAAGTATAGAGCTGCAATTTCTACCGAAGTCAATGGGCACTATGCCTACTTATGCTAGGGCTGAATTTGGCTCAATAATGGTAAATATCAATGGGCATCATGTGAGCATATCACCATTCGTAGCTGTAGTAAGAGGAGGCCCTGAGACATAAACCCTTGTATCAGAGGCCTGGTATAAGGCCTAAGGCCTGAACTAAAGTAATGGTCAAGACTTTGCTAACATAAAGCAAAGTTAAGCTGTGAGCCAGAGGCAGGCCCTGCTCACAGAAGCTGGCAAGGAAAGGGCTGATGCTGCAAAAAGAGACATACCTAAAAGGTACTGGACACCAGATATCAGAACATGCGCATACTTGTACATTCCACACACAAGGAACAAGCTGACCCATCCCAATGACAGGGCCAAAGGGTAATATGATGGATAGAGTTGTTTTGTTCAAACCAACATGTACAAGGTGAGAGGCGGCACCTTACTACGTAGAGGGGTTGTACCTTGCTGCGTAGAGGGGTTGCACCTCAATACGTCAGGAGTGATGTGCAACTTGTTTGTACCTGTGTATAAGAATGCATCCCTGAGTGGATATCTTTGTCCAGCCTAGGGGGCAGTGGAAAGTCCCGCCACTGACTGAGCTGAGTCCATTGTCAGGGAGCACATAAGTACTGGCTAGCCACACCTTAGCAGCACCTTGGACTTCGTTTGCCATGGAAAGCTGGAGATTGTGTTTCTCTTCGACAATAAACCTGGCCGACGTGCCTTCGTACCTTACTAGAGTCTGTGGTCATTGGGGGTTCTCTCGGGGTCTGCTGTGTCAGCTATCTGCGCAGAGCTGGGGCAGCACACAGAGGAAACACGCACGCAGCCGATTGATATCAACATTGAACAGAGCAGAGCACCACACCGGTAGCATCTGACAACAGTAGCTTTGAAAAATTACCCCAGAAATATGTGTTAACACTTTTCACTTCCTTACAATAAATCAGCAGTTCTCTCACATCAGTTTTACACTGATGGAACTATTGATTTCAACACTTCCTCGCAGATTACATTGGCATGAGAGGAGAATTAGATTCATATATATACTACTGAGTTATATTTCTATCTGAAATATGAAAAGAATAATTACATTTCACTTTATTAACCAAAGGCGTAACTGTAACATACATTGAGCCAGATCCTCGGCTGGTGTAATTCAGCATTGTTCCACTGAATTCAATTTATCTCAGCCAATTTATCCCAGCTGAGCATCTGGGCCCACTGTTAAATTGGGTGAAGAATTTTAGAGAGTTTTTTAAAGTGGAAATCAAAGTACTTTGCTATTGAAACAGACTGGGATTATGTAACCTGGTAATTCATTGGTCATTAATAAAGCAACCAGGAAACCCAGGAACAACTAGGTTGTGTCATTCATGCCTCTTCTGATCCATTGCAGATAGGAGGGCAATTGTGGCTATGGGGAAGGACCAAAAATATACCAGATAAAAGGAAATATTGATGTCATGTTCCTTAAGATATCAAAAGCCCATTGTCAATTTTATCACAAATTCCTTTAATAAACTTTCTGTTCCTCTTGTATTATTAATGACTGTACTCTGCCTTAACTACTCAGTGCCTTTTCCATCCCACATTTGCACACAGAATATTATACAGGAAGATGTGACCATAGAACTGAAGGTAATTCAAGAAATCAAATCTTTTTACAAAGATTAAGTATGTGACACTCTAAAACCTTTTATTCACCTAGATGAAAGGTGTGGAAAATAGTGATTTATATGGACTTTTGTGTGCCTGCTTTCTTAATGAGTAAACTCTCTGACAAGCAGATGTATGTAAACAGAGTACAAATCAGTTTGCACAAGGGATGTAAACAATTTACTCTTTCATTTTAATTTGTTATATATAAGTGGTAGCATAAACCTGACGTTAATACTAGTTTACACAATTTTACTGGCTGGATTTGCATTGTTGTGTAAATGGCATGTGCCTTTTAACTAGGGGGTTGAAAAATTAACACATCCAAGTTGTGTGGTGTTAAAAACCAGAGAATGACATTGTTCTGGACACTAGTTTACTGAAACATTTTCATCTCAGTGCTGGGTTCTTTTAAAAATGTGAAAAATCCTCATCTTTTTACACTGGAAAGATTTTGATGCAGTTAATTATGTCAGTTTGCACATCCAGCACAATTGTTTCACCAGACTTCTGTAAAACTGCCGGCAGTGATTCCTACGATATCCAACTCACTTGGATAAGTTTGAGCTGCGGTGAATCAGGAGAGCACAAAGTTTATTACCACACCTTGTTGCATTCAAGTCATTGGGACCCATGAAGTACAGTAACTCCTCACTTAACGTTGTAGTTATGTTCCTGAAAAATGCGACTTTAAGCGAAACAATGTTAAGCGAATCCAATTTCCCCATAAGAATTAATGTAAATGAGGGGATTAGGTTCCAGGGAAATTTTTTTCACCAGACAAAAGACTATATATAGACACACACACACAGAGTGTAAGTGATGATGATTGTGAAGCTTGGTTGAGGTGGAGGAGTCAGAGGGTGGGATATTTCCCTTACTGCTAAATGATGAACTAGCAATTGGCTGAGCCCTCAAGGGTTAACTCTCTAACTCTACAAGGCAGCAGGAATGGAGGGAGATATGGGCATTTCCCCTTTAAGTACACTGCCTTGTTAATTAGATCAGCTTGCTGAGACTGCAGCTGCTGCAAGCTCCCTCCGTCCTGAGTACTGGTGTGTCCCCCTGCTCTATGGAAGACGGGGTAAGCGGGGTGCAGGAGCAGGGGGGAGGGGAACACCCTGACAGCCACCCTCTTTCTTCCCTCCCCCACGCACAGCAAGCAGGAGTCTCGGGGAGCAGCTCCAAGGCAGAGGGCAGGAGCAGCACATGGCAGTAGAATCGTAGAATAGAATATCAGGGTTGGAAGGGACCTCAGGAGGTCATCTAGTCCAACCCCCTGCTCAAAGCAGGGCCAATCCCCAGACAGACTTTTGCCCCAGATCCCTAAATGGCCCCCTCAAGGATTGAACTCACAACCCTGGGTTTAGCAGGCTAATGCTTAAACCACTGAGCTATCCCTCCCCCCCCCTGCTGCACAGGGAACTTAGGGGAGCG